CTGATTGCCCACTCGTCATCCCTCCAGCCAGCGTGTCCTTCTCTTTCTCTTTAGACAACTTGCTTGCCAATTGTGTTTCTGATCACTGTGATGCACTCGTTCCCTCTGATTTTTGTTTCCTTTTTAATGCCGTACTTTTTTTTGGGTTGCTGTTTACTAATTTTTAGGGACACAGCTTCTGCCTCTTTCTATAATAATACACATGTGTTCAGTAATTAGAGTGCTCGTTAAATCATCCTTACTCTTTTCCCAAAAGATTGTTCTTCTGTCCAGAAAGCCTTCCCAGATGCAACAGAGGGGAAAAGAAATCACCTGTTAATCATAAAATCATAATTTTTAAACATTTTTGTCACAAACTTGATGAAAAACTATAGGATAAAATATTTTAAGAGATATATGATACGTGATTTTTGACTTAGGATTTGAAAGCTAATGTAAAGAGAGGCATAAATATACTGTCCAAGTTTGTTTGTTTGTTTTTAATTTGAGTAATCAGATTGAAAATTACCACTACCAGGGATGGAAAAGTCATGAAAAGGACAAACCTGGGTTTAGGTGAAATGAGGAGCTGATACCAAGGGCTCAAATAGAAAGCAAATATTTTGAGAATGATGATGGCGACAAATATACAAATGTGCTTGACACAATGGATGGATGGATGGATTGTGATAAGAGCTGTATGAGCAGCCCCCAATAAAATGATTTTTTAAAAAAAGAAAAGAGGAAGAATTAATGTCAGGTTGTGTTTTTAGGATTTTTATATGACATACAGCATGTTCCTTGGATTTTATAACTATAGCCAGACTGAAGTCAGGGTTGGAGACAAAAACGTAAGAGTTCCACTCATTTTGAAGTTGTAGCAAATTAAGAAAAAATTAATTGTCAGAATGAAAAGTATTTTAGAGTCAATTGCCATTAATGTGATTTTCAATCATATGTCACAGGAATAAGATTTTCAATGACTAATTTGAATAGAGAAATAGATTGTCAGGACTTTCACTAGAGGCTGTCTGGATGGGCTTGAATCTCTCACCATTCAGTCCGCAATCAAGCACATTTACTGCTTTTACCACCGTGAGGGTGGTGAGAGCTGTTAATACGCAATGGGGCAGTCAGCATTTCAGAAGTCATCCATTTCCCAAGAACTCTATAAGCTAGCAATTATCTGGTCAATGAAGTATTCATAAAATTTCTTGGAAATTTTGTAAATGGCAAAGCTTTCTACATAAGTAATATAAACAGAGTGTCTTGTATGCAGGGCCACTTTGAATGCAAATAAAGCATTGAGTTTACTTCAGGCTAAGCCCCTCGTGTCTTCAATTGATCTTAACTAGCCCTGAAGTTGTAATTGATTTACTTTTCAATGATCAGCTGCAAATCAATTGATTAGAACTTTCAACACTTTTCTCCCTGTAGGAACAATATTATAAATAATTTTTAATATTATAAATCATTTTAAATTTAAACAATATTATAAGTGATTTTTCCCACAAACTACTCTATAAAATAATAAACTATTTGAGGGTAAGTCAAAAATATTTTCCCAAAATCATAGAAACCTCATTCTTTTTTTTTAATGATCAAAATGTGAAGATGGTGTTTCTTGACATATCCTACATCTACGTCTAAGTACTCCTGAAGGGAGGGTTCTCTCTCAATCGCCCTTCCTGAGAGAATGTTAAAGCAGCACTTTGTGCACCCTAAGGACCCAAACCCGATTTCTTTACAGTGTGCTTTGAGATTTGGAAACAGAGAAATCTGAAGGGCAGTAATAGGATTGTAGCTCGGCTGTGGTAAGGTCGCCAATGAAATCAGCTCTTACCACCTCACAAGAATGAGAAACTTCCCTGGCCTTTTTCCACCCAGGACAGTTTTCAATTCCTGAAAATGTCGTCATAATAAGTAAGCCCCTGGGATCATTTTGGGTCTTTCTAGAAAATCGATCGTGATTTCCTCTTTAGGATCGCAATCAACAGCCTGCTCACCATCTGAGTGACCTCTTTGCACTGAATTTAATTGACCAAGAAGACTCCACTGGAAGTCACATTTTTACTGCTCTTTTTTTTTTTAAAGACACTGTAATGACACTGAGACAGTTACATTACTGAGAGAATTTCCCTGCAGTCATCAGTTGATTGTGAAGACATGTTTAGACATGTTATATATGGTATAATATTATTATTAATAATAATAATAATAATAATAATAAAAGACAACATCTGGAACTCGAGTACCAATATATGTTGACTCACCTTTGTAGTGAAACTCCACTTAAATTTGTTCTAATTATAATCATAGTGGCAAACATCCTTTTTTCCCTTTTAAATACCCAAACTATAATTAAGTACAAGGAGGAGGCAAAAATATTTTATAAATATAATCATTGTGAAATATGCTGAAATTTGTAGAACTGCAAAGGAGTATATAGGCAGCACAAATAGTTAAGTGATTGAACCCCCTCAAAAGGTTGGGGGTTCAAGCCCAGTCAGGGGTGTCTTTGAAGAATAGTGATCTACTTCTGAAAAATCAGCCATGGAAGCACAGCTCTATTCTGATACACAACATGTCACTTTATGTCAAAAATTTTTAAAAATTGTAAAATTTACTTTATTGAATGAAATAGATTTTCAAATTAACTTTACTTTAGCATATTAATAATTGATAAAAATTAATTTGGGGGCACATGATAAGGATGATAGAGACATATGGAGATTAAAGGCAATTTCTGCATTTTTAAAACCTTTTATCCTTTATGGTAACTTTCTGCTTATCTAATTTCGTAATTCTTCATTTCAGTTATCTTTGGTATCTTTAATTTCAGATAAACCACTGAGATTGGTATATCTAACACTAATGACTAGGTTAATTTTAGTCATTTATTTGGATTTACAATTGAAGGAAATGTTTTATTTGAAAGCAAAATAACTATTCTAAATCCAAGTCCTATCCCCCAATCTTTAGAGTTAAGTTATTTATTTTTCCTTTGGTGAATTTTCCCTGGCCGAGTGCCATCCGGTTGGTCCCGACTCATAGGGGCACAATGCACAACAAAATGAAATGCTGCCAGACCCTGTGCCGTCCTTACCTTGGCTCTTGTGTTTGAGCCCTGTGTTTGCCCACTGTTTCGATCCATGCTGAGGGTCTTCCTCCGCCTCTGTCCCTCTATTTTCTTTTAGTTTGCTATCATTTCCTTGCACATGTTCAAGTGGAAAATATCCTCTGACTCATGCCGTCTTCCTTATTTTATATACTGGCTTATTTAATTGCTTTACTGGGTTGCAGGCTGGAGTTTAATCCTTAACCAGGAGATATCAGAGTTTAGAGTCCCAAGACTTCACATTGATATTAAACACTCTTTTCATTGACAGGTATCTGTCTGTCCACCCCTGCAAAAACCCTGGCATTTTCAGTTTCCTTTTGAAATTCCTCTACCAGCGCTATAAACTAAAGCTCAGAACTCAGGAATCTAAGGGGTCATATGATCTTCTCTAAAGAATGATTCATGGATCCATATGAACTCTCCCAAAATAACATCATGCCCCTTCACAATCACAGAAGTAGGAGTGGAATGGCAAGAGGAACCTGGCTTCTGGGTCAAATATTATAGGCATGAAAGGGTGACTCTCCAAGTTTGATGAGTCAAGGGCTAAGCATAACGAATGAGAGAGAGAACTGCAGTACTGAGATGAGAATGAGAATTTTCTCCATAGTCACCCGTTGAGACTGCCACCAGCTAAAGAAATTATTACATCACATTCAAATATTGGATATTTTAATTTTGGAACAGATCATACCTTCAGATTAATATAAGACCTGTATTTATCTTTTAAACATATTGTGTTAATTTTAAATGAAAAATAGTTCTGTACAATGATTCCATGATATCAAAATTCCTTTTCTAGGTTATTATGAGGAAAAACATCAGTAATGTATAGATACAATCTTTCTAATTTTTTGGTTTATGTTTATTAAGATGTATAAATCATGTCTATACTTGCCTATAATCTCTCATTATATTATCCTATTTAAACATAATACATGTTAATCAATAAGGTCTACAGGTTGACTAGGCAGGGAGGTAGTTAGGGCTTTCAATACTCAAAACAGAACAAAACAAAAGGTGAGCCCACCGTCATCAAGTTGATTCTGAGCCACCCTACGAAGGGTTTCCCAGACTGGAAATCCTGATGGGAACAGATAGCCTCACAGTTCTCCCCCCGATTCTCTGGAGGGTTTGTACATACACACACATACATGTACACTTTTGACACAGAACTCAGAGCTCTACATAAACAAATAGCCCAAGACAGTACTCTCTAATTGCTATCGACTAGAGGTGGTACATTTTTCTTAAATAGAACAAAGATGTCAATGCCATACTGTTAATGGGGAGGGGGGAGGAAAACAAAGGCGATTTAAACGAAAGTGTTAGATTTACTGTTCTTTATATATGGAGAAGTAAATAGTATTTCTTTGGAGAAGAGCAATCATGTATTTGTTTTCGTGATCTCTTATTTGGGAGCTGTTTACTGTTTTCCACAACAAATTCAAAGAAGACAAGAATGAGTTTATGCTTAATCTCTGCCTGGTTGGTATTCAAGTAATGGCCATTAGTGAATAATGGTGTAAGTTACCAGCCTTTTAACATGGTGTCAACTAGTAAAGAAGCTTGCCTTTTTTTTTTTTTACTGAAAATAAGTTATTTATTACTTTTAAAAATATATATAAATGAACGGATGTTTACAAGAGAATGCCAACTTGGATTTAATCTAAATTGTTAACAAAAACATAATATACTAAACAACAGTTGGGTTTAATCTAATGTATTAACAAAACCATAATAAACGAATGGCTTCTACTATAACTCAGTAAGTCAATCAAGCACTTGGCTTTAATCAGGGGCAAACAGACATCAGTCACTACTGTCTAATACCACAAATACATGTGACTTCAAATTTTATAGGGAAAATTGACCTTGGGGTCTTAAACCCTATCTCCCATTAGAAATGCCCTGAATAATGACATCCCCAGAGAAAGGGAGGCTGCATGGTATATTCCAGCTGGACCAAGTGGCGGCATCGAAGGGTCAATTTTTCTTGATATTCATTCTGTGAAACACAGTCATAAAGTTCTTGGGCAGTAAATATGACACTTTGATTTAACTCATTCTTGATTAGAAAGTTATAGAGCATCTCAACATCTTGATGAGTACAGCTGGGGGCCAAGATCCTTTGAATTCCTTCGAGAATATCCTTCACAGCTGCCATTAACTTTTGAAGATATATAAATGCTTCTTCAAATGATGCTACGTTTGATGTAGTCAGAGCTGAATTAGAGCCCAATCTCTGAAAAACATCTGTGCTGTTCTGATATATTGTAATCCAAACATTCTCTAGGATAGACCAGATTTCTTGATTCCTGTTGGATTGGGGATGCTGAGAATCCGAGAAAAGTGTGGTTTCTGGATGACTAGATTTCATCGAAGTAACTGCCTGCTGCTGACTCAAGGCTTTGGCTTAAGTTTTGCCTTGACCTCTGCGATTGTTTGCAGCAGTTTGTCCACTTGAGCAAACGCTTGTGGAAGAATACCATCATAATTTGACCTTGTACTGAAAGCATGTAACAAAGCTTTGGAATCCTGAAGCAGGAATTTCACTGTTGCAAAATCCAGTGTACTATCAGCTTTACACAGATTTTCATATAGGCTCTCAATGACTAAAAGTCAGTTGTTTTCCATAATTAATACAAACACAGCTAACCAATGTTTTTTAAAACACTGAAATACATGTACTAAAGTCCGTGGTGGCTTCAAGTACAGCATCTCCATCCAGAGATTTCCAAAAACAATTTTCATTTCAGTTTCTAATATTGAAGATAAAGCCATTCCAAGAGCTTTTTCCAGCTCAGTTATGATGCTTCCAAGTACAACAGACAGTCCAGAACTTGTGGATTCCTCTTCAGAGCTCTTTTTCACGGATGTTGCTTTCAACTGCTGCTTAGAAATACAAGGCTGATGGCACCCATCTGTGACCATAAATAAGTTTAATAACTCTGAATTCAATTCTTCTTTACTGAGTGACTTCACACCACTTATAAGATCCTGTTTCTTAAATTTCTATCATCCGTACATAGAATAACTTGAGAACAAGGGAACAGTTCCTGGTATTGAAGACAGCATTTTAATACTCGATCATCATTATTCTCATCACTCAATCTATAAAACTTTTGAGATGCAAGTTGTATTGATTGACCCCATAGCTTTCTGTCTGGACTTTGGAGACTGTCCGTGATGAAATGAACTGCAGGGACAGCTTTATGCTGGGCATGGTTCAGCAGTTTCCCTGCTTTCATGCAATCCAGTGCTTGCACAACCACCCAGGGAATTATCAGCACCAATCTGTCAAAGCCTACTATTTCTGTTGTCTTCAACATCCTAACAAATTCGAGATGATCCATTAGCATATTTGTGTCAATAACAATGAGAAGACTTTTGTTTGAAGCAGTATTTTCAATGGAAGAATGTACACCGTCTTCTACCAAGTCAATTTCCGTGCTCATTAACTCTCCAGAGGGTGGAATCACAGGTAAATCCATACTTTTTCCCACACATGCAGCATGAAGCTCCTCTGCTACCTGCATCTCGTGATCTGTATCTTGAATACTTTCTGGAGAAGCTGAAGAACATGGTGCATCAAGCCTCTGGGGTAGATTTTCAGTAGATCTTTAATCATTAGTTTCCGGATGCTGATGATATTTTCCTTTCCAATCAGGAGAAGTCTTATCCATAGTATCTGCAAGTAAATCTTCAATTGTGTGCCTTGTCAAAGATGGTGAAACTTGGGACCTCTCTGGGTATTCTTCCTCCTGATTTGTCTTTGACTTGTCGGCAACTATACTGAGCATGTTGTCTTCTGCAAGTTTCCGAAGAGTAGCACGAGATTTTATTGGGATTTTGAAACTGTTCTTTCTTCTTCTTCCTCAAGTACTTTGTTGGAATTATAATCCTGAGAAAATTCTTTTTTCTTGCATTTCTCCAAGACACAGCTTTCTGAACTTTCTCTAAATTTACTGCATCCTTCTTTCTTGAGTTCTTGGCTAAGTAAAGTAGTCTTTTTTTTTTTTTTTTTTTAACTTATCTGACTTTTGACTATAGGTGTCACAGTTTTACAATCTTAGGACTACCAAGGTTTTTAAGCTCAGGCTTATCCTGAACATTTGTAAACTTAGTGTCCTTAAGTTTAAAATGTATGCATTTACTTATATTTACTCTAGTTCCATTTGAAGCAAGGCTTCGTGAAGTAATCTGATTATCATTGGAGCATGATGTTTCTTGGAGCTGAACAGGTCCTTGAGATAAACTGGTTCTTGATCTCTTTCTTAAAATATCAGATATTACATTGAATCTTTTGAGTTCTTGTCTTCTTTGTGTATAACAATAGTGAATACCTGTTTGATCCGGTTTCAGTTTTCTCTTCTCAGAAGAAACTGATCTTATAGAGGAAGTCGAACTAGCAGAACCTGAAGTGTTTTCCTCTTTCTTATCTTCTTTATCAACATTGGGTGATGACGTGGTGCCTTTTCTCTGAGACTTCTCTTTTTCCCCCACAAGATTCTTTGTGGAACATTTTTAAAGCTTAACAGCATAGCCCGCAGTCGCAACTCGAAGCTTGCCTTTTTTAAAAGCCCTGTTGTTTAGTTACCATTTCCTAGTGGTGCAAAAGGATAACACGCTCAAAAGCTAGCCAAAGGTTTGGAGAATTGAGTCCACCTGGAAATGCCTTGGGGGAAAATTCTATGACCTACTCCAAAATCTCAGCTACAAACGTCCTGTGGACCCCAGTTCTACTCTGACTCAGAGGGGTGCTATGGATACGAATTGAGTGAATGGCACCTGGCTTTGATTCGTGCCTCTTTGAGTCTTTCCTGCCCTCTGCCCTCCATGCTGAATAGTCATATTGAAAAATGCGACCATGAATTTTGCTTCAGAAATTAGCAAGGGTGGAGAGATCGATAGAGTGCGGAGGATGGAGAGACATCGTGAGAGGCTTATGGCAAATGGATGCATTGAGAGTACTTGCTGATGGAAATGCAAACGTTGGAAATAATGCAGAAGGAGCAGTCGTTGGAAAATACAGACGTGGTGATAGAAAGGAAGCTGGAGATCGCATGATAAAATTTTTCAAAACCAACGACTTATTCATAGCAAATATCTTTTTTTTCAACAATCCAAAATTTGGACTTTCCCAGAGGAATACACAGAAATCAAAGTGACTACATCCGTGGAAGACGTGATGGAGAAGCTCAATCTCAGCAGCTAAACCCAGTCCAGGGGCAGGCTGTGGCTAAGACCCTCAATTGCTCATAGTAAGTTCAGGATAGAACTGAAGAAAATTAAAACAAGCCCTCAGGAGCCAAAATACAACCTTGAGTCTATCTCACCTGAATGTCAAGAACATCTCAAGAACAGATTGGTTAGCTTAAACACTAATAACGGAGACCTGCTGAGCTCTGGGAGGACATCAAGGTCATCATTGGTGAAGAAAGGAAGAGATCACTAACAAGACACAGGAAAAAAGAAAAGATCAGATGAAACGCTGAAACTTACTATTAATTGTAGCATAGCTAAAACAAATGGAAGAAAGAATGAAGTCAAGGAGCTGACTAGACCATTTCAACAGGTAGCTCCAGAAGACCAGGACAATTATAAGGAACTGCGCAAGGACCCAGAATTAGAAAAATCAACGTGAAGAACCAACCGAAGAAGTAAAGAAAGAATTGATACTCACCGATCTAAATAATGAATGACAGTTAACTCACAATTCACTTGGGCTGATGGTGATGCAAGTGTGACGTTCTTGGCTATTATCCAAGAGGTGGGTGGTTTGAAGCCACCAGCTGCTGTGTGGGACAAAGACGTGGCAATCTGCTTCCACATCGATGACAGGCTTGACACTCCTTTGGGTACTTGGTGTTAGTCTGGGTACTTTAGAGAAACAAATCCATAGAAACTCAGGTATAAGAGAGAGTTTTATATAAACGTTAAGTGCACATAAAGAAAACATCCCAACCCAGTGCTGCCCAAGCCCACAAGTCCAACATTAACCCATATGTCCAACACCAATCCGCAGTGTTCTCCTCCATCCCACAGAACACACACTATGATGCCGACTGCAGGAGGAAAGCTGAGTTAGTGAGTGTGTAAGCATCTCAGTGTTGGCAGGAGTCTCCACGTGGCTGTTCCAGCACCCAAGGCTGCATTGGGGTAGGTCCATGCGGCTTCTCCTTGGGGATGTCTTGTAGGAAATGAGCCTTGCCAGCTGAAGCAGGGACTTGGCTAAGGCAGCTGCACCCTGATCCAACTATCACAAAGCAAGAGACTCGAGAACTAGAAAGGTGAGGCTCACCGAGTCATTTATCTCTCTGCCCTTCAATGAACCCCACATGTGTGTATCGGCCAAGATGGCACAATAAACTAACTCAGGGCGCTCCACTCTGTCCAAGGTAGTTGGAAGTTGGAAATGAGGGATGGCATCGTGTTCAGATTTGATTTGGATATTTTGGAACAGAGCAAGTAGTCTTCAAATGGGCCCTTTTAGTTCTTGGTTATAGGCCTTAGTGAGGGAAGCATGAGACATTATGAATACTCTATATGGATTATAGCATTGTAAATTACTGTCTCTAGATAATCATTGAGCTCTAGAGAATGTTTAAAAGTTGTTTTCGTGCTGAAAAGTATGAGAAAGACAACACATTTTATTATTGAAAGTTTGACCAGAGGTAGCAGTGATTAATTGCTACTGCAATTCTCATGTCCTCTCTAGTCCAACCAAGCTAATGTGGTTAAAAGGTCTCTTGTTTTTCCACTAACAGAATGTTGACTTGCCAGTAGTTCATAACTCTTACTCCTCTAATGCAGTGAGACATTTATTTTCTTCTTTTCCGTGTTCCTTTCTTAAAGCACAGAAGGGATTTAAGCCCTCAAATTGTAAGACATATTGAGAGCTTGGCTTTAGAGACCAAAGATGAAAGCAGCCAAAGTCAGTGAGATTGTGCAAAAGAAGACCTGGAAGGAACGTGTGGCTGGATCTGTCTGTAGCAAACGGACTTTGATGGTGCAATACAAACTAATCAAAGCCCAACAAAGATCACAGAATGGTTTCAGTCACAAACAAAGTCCTTGGGAGGACTGATAATGATGCTTGTTCTGAAAAATCAGTATATCTTCCAGGAAGAAATGGTGAAGAAGGAAAACCCATTTATTTCACTTTTAGAGAAGCCTCACTGATTCTATCAGCTCTATTGCACAAATATAGTTGTTTGTTTTTTATCCCCCTAACCTCATGTTGACCCAAATAATATTTTATAAAATTGATACTGAACCTCAGAGAGGGAATGGAATATGACTGTCTTTATGATCTCATAATCAATAAAATATGTTCATGCAAGTACATAGCAATTTGTGTGTGAAAAATGGATTTCAAACAATAAGATAAAGATATTTGCAAAATAAATATCTTATAGATGGCAAATGTGTCATATAAAGGAAGTATACATAGTAACATACATTAAACCAAGATGAGCTAGTGATAAAAGTTCTGAGATAGGTTTTTAATCTGCAAGAGAGATTTTAAGGATAGTATATATAATGACTCTCCTGAGAGACCTTCAGGGGGAAATTGTGGTTCTATTTCTTCTTAGGATAAATAAAATTTGTATAGAAAGCTCTGTGTCCCTGGCATTGTAGAATGGGGGTGATTTTCCCCTTGTTCTCACAGACACCCCTCCTCAGCAATGTCAGGGCATGAGCAATGAAGGCAGAGTTTGAATAAAAGCAACATACTTATAGACCTTTAGAAGAAAAAAACCCAAAATGGAACATCTCGCAGCATGCTTACTTATCATTAGTTGTCCTTAAGAAGGAATTTCCAAATAAGTTTTAACTAAAATTTATTTATGCCATATTGTTAAGTTTTTATCAATTTTATTGATTGTTAAAATATGGAAGAATGCAATTGTGAACTGGCTGGACTTGGGGAAGGTAATGTTAAATAGTGTGAGATTTCTTTTCAGAGTGATGAATAAAACACATTAATCGAAAAAACATTGAACTAAAAAGAAACAAAAACTTTGACTTGAGCATTGTAAATGGATCAGTTGAATAGTATGTGAATTCTATCTCAATAAAGCTATCACACACTCATATGTGTGCATATATATGTTTATAATGTCTATACACACACACTCATGTGTGTGCATAGTGAGAGAGTGCACACACAAAAATTTTTTTACTTTTCTGTTGTTTGCAGCATCTTTTGACTTACGAGTTTGTCCATGAGTGATAGCTATGACTGACATCGAGGTTAGAGTACTAAATGTCATCTCAGTTTTGCGACCCTATTTTTCTCTTAACCCAGTTTTATCACTTACATTCATACTGTCTTACTATACTTTCCTCACTCTTAATCCTTGTTGGAACAAGGATGTGAATAGATAAGTGAAATAATTGTTTTTTTCTATAGGGTCACTCTAAGTTGAAATCAACTTGACCGTAATGGGATTTTACATAGTATTCTTGTCCCTAATCAACTTCTTACCATTTATTGATGGGTAATTAATCCACCTTTCGTGATCTTTTGCTTCTCAGAGCTATTCCTAAGGGAATATACACAGCTCTTTTATGATATTAAAACTTAATGAGCGTGGCTCTCAAATTTTATATACATAATAAATTAAAAGGCTAAACAAAATCTAACTTTCATTTTTAGTTCTGAGCCTGGTGTTTCAGCAGTTAAAATGTCTAGATAATATATTGTAGAGTGAGTGTTGTTATTGCCTTTTTAAAGAGAAATATTGCATCCGGTATGGTGGTAACTTTAATCATATCATGCCTTTGGCCTTTTGTTGCAGTAACTCTTCAATCCCGGATTGAAACAGAGTCTGTTTCCTTATAAAATACATGGATAATTGGTATTTTTAGACTCTGGTGGTGGCATAGGCAGAAGATTCAGAGAAATCTGGGTTGGTGTTAGCATTACAGCCATATCGTGTCATTAAGAGGGACTGTTAATTTGAGAAGGCTATCATGCTTGGTAGAGGGTGAGTGACAAAGAGAAAGACCCTCAATAGATGGATTGACACAGTAGCTGCAATAATGGGCTCAAACATAGTGGCATTTTTGAGGATGGTGCGGGACAGGGTAGAATTTCCTTCTGTTGTACATACAATAAAAGCAACAATGTAACAACCTAATAAAATAACTTCCATTATTGTGTTAACATTATTATAATTTAGACCTGAATCGTGCACAAATGAAAGCAAGAAACGGTTCCCTCCCTTTATTATGTCCTGATCTTCCTCTCTAGAGATTAGGTTCTTGTCCTGGGTTTCTAGGATTGAGAAGTGAGCCTTGGAATTTGCCCCCATGGAATTCATCCTAATAAGATACCTATGTGTGTAACCCACAGTTGATGCACATATTCAGACAGAGCGATCATAGAATGATTTATAGAAATTTTCTAAAGTACAAGCATCTGGAGCTGAACACGTGTTTGGTGCTGCGTGCTATAGAGCTGATTCGGGCTCATAGTGACCGTCTCCATGCACGTTAAGTTT